CCTCTTTCCAAGGCCCCTTCCACAGAAGCGGCCACTGGGAGGCACCGGAGATGGCTGAGGGGCCGCAGGGCCCGAGACCCTGGTAGTGGCACAGTGTGGAGCGGGCTGGGCGAGCCTCCCTGAGGCGTCCTCCTTGCTCTGCAGCGCGGCTGCAGTACCTTCAGGCTGAGTCGCCCGACAGGCGTCTTCTTCTTGGGCCGGTCTTCAGTGTTTTGGAAGTCAGTGGCTGTGGTGGGGGGGGAGACAGGCTCAGCTGGCACCGCACCCCCCCCATTTCCCCAGGCTCCACTGCCCTTCACCTCAGCTTTGGCATTTTTTTGATGGATTTGGCCCGCTTGGAGCCTTGTCTCCCATGTCATCTCGGAGGCCTCTGTCCGGGCTTCTGCCTGGCTCGTGCTAGTCTTAAACTCAGCGCAGGTCATCTGGTTGCAGGGAGAAGAGGAAACAGGGTCTGTTCCTAGCCGGCCTCCTTGCCCTGGGCCCCCTGCCCCCACCCGGGCCCTGCAGTACCCAAGTCCTCGATGGTGTCCAGAAGGCCGCCGGGGCTGGGTCCGGAGCGGCTGTCAGGACCCTGGAGGGGCAGCGCGTCCTCTCCGATCAGGGTCAGGTCCTGCATGCTGAAGCTCCGGAGCTTCTCTGACAGCACCCCTGCCCTGGGGTCACCACCACCGCACCGGAGAGCGGGGGAAGGGGCGGGGTGGAGATCGAGTCACTCTGGCGCTGGCAGCAGCCCGGGGCTCAGTGCTTCGCCACACTGCCTCCCCAGTCCACACAGCACGGAAAGGCTGGGGCGTGCTGGCAGGTGAGGAAACTGAGCCAGACGGTGGAGTGACTCAGCTGGAGGAGGGGGCCAGCCAGGACGGGGACCCCCAAAGCCTCCACAGCCCAGGACAAGGTGGCACAAGGGCCTGCCAGGGGCACAAGATGAACACGGTGGGGTCCTAGGAGTCTGGGCTGTCCCATCTCACCTTGGCTGCAGCTGTGACTGCGGCATTGGCGCAGGTTTGAGCCCCTTTGCCCACTCGCATCATGGTCTCGTAGCTCTTGTCCCGGGCCTGCGTGATGTACTCGTCTATCTCCTGTGAGGGGTGGAGGAGAGGGGAAGGGTCAGAGGGTGGTTGCCCTGCTCTTGTGCACACCCGGCAAAGGGCCTGCCTGCTCCAGGAGGCCATGGCCCTGCCAGGGTCACTGCAGGCTCTGGCACCCACACGCTGGGTGCCTGGGCTGGGGCGGGTGGCCGTAAAGCTGAGAATGGTGCAAGACCTTCTCCTTGGTGGACAGCGTTCTGGGTGCAGCAACTTGCGGTAGAGCACGCTGGGCTTGGGTGTAAGGGACAGCAGCCAGATTACGAAGGCGGACTCTTGAGCTCAAAGAAGGGGAAGCCTGTTGGGGACAGAGTGAGGCACAGAGTAAGAGGGCAGGAGGTGCACCGGGCTTAGCGCCGCCCACACGGGAAGGCAGTCCCTCCCCGCAGGACGCTTGGTCTCTTACAGGTCTCAACGGGGCTGGTTGTTTTCTAATTGAATGACTCCAGATGGGCGCGCTTCCGCCGTGCTCTTCGACTGCCAGAGAAGCCCTCAGTGCCTTTGCCCTGGGTCGACGCCAAGGTGACCTCCCTGGACGTTGAGGAGGAGGGTCTCCTCCAGCTGTGTCTGGTCCTTCCCTCCCTCCCGCTCACAACTCCCCCAAATCCCCCTACCCTGGCTTAAGACCATAAGAACTGTCTCCATTCCCCATGGTCCTTCTCTGTGGCTCATACGCCTCATCAAAGCTCTTTCCTACGCTGTGTCAAGACGCGCATCAGTTTATCATGCCCTCCCTTCTGTTTTTTGTGTGTTTTTGGGTTTTTTTTTGGACAGAGTCTCATTTTGCCAGGGCTAGAGGTGAGGTGCGTGGCGTCAGGTAGTCTTACAACCTCAAATCCTGGGCTCACAGCGAATCCACTGCTCAGCTCCCGAGTACTGGGACTACAGGCATGCGCCACCATGCCTGGCTAATTTTTTGTGTGATTTTGTTGCCAATTAATTCTTTCCATTTATGGTAAGACGGTCTCGATGTTGTCAGGCTGGTTTCGAACTCCTGACCTTCGAGCAATCCACCTGCCTGGCTCCCAGAGTGCTAGATTCAGGCATTTGGCCACCGTGCCTGGGCCTTGCCCTCCCTTGCTAACCATCTCTTCTTCCCCACTGAAAGTTTTCTCCAACACGAGGGCCCTGTCTACAAATGCAAGGAACGCTTGCCTCTTGCCCTCGGCAAAACTCTGTTCTCTTCAGAAGGCCAACGTGGTCACGTCTGTTAGTCTTCACTTCTAAGAGGCATACTGCTCGTTCAGGAAACGTTTGCTGAGCTCCTGCCGTGAACGGCACACGATGGACACACTCCCTGTTCTCAGAGTGGCCTGGGAATGCCTTGGAAATGCACGTCAGGTTATAGGATTTCGTTCCGTGCTATTTTAAAAACAGGGAAACGAGCTGAGGCTGTGACCTGCGCAACGTCGAGCGGCGTGGCGGAGGCAGGTTTTCCTGATCTCATCGCGCTTTGGCTGGCACCAGAAAGGAGATGGGGCCAGGTCCTTTCACATTCTGCTGACCAGGGCGCTGGGCGCAGAGACCTGCACCCCGGGTGACATCTCGTTTGTTTGGCTGGCTGGACATGGGACAGGCAGGGCCCGGCGGCTGGCTGTGGGGTTCTGGACCTCCACCAGGGAGGCCACTATGTCCGGTGAGCGTCTCGGCGTGGGTGAAGAAGGCAAAGGACGATCCAGACATCTCATTTCACCTGAGTGACAGAGGGGTGTTTGCGGGCCTGGGCGGACGGGCCAGGAACAGCAGGACCCCAAACCCTGCCTGCCATCATGCCTCGGGATGGACACCCAGGACCCTCCTTTGCTGAGTTTGTTAGTGGCTGATGGCGTTGGTACAAGAGGAATGTGACCATCCTTCTCCGGATCTCTTGCCGTGGTAGGCTGGGGAGAGGGAAGGTCGTCTTCACTCATCATTCCTTACGTTTTTCTTCACGGCCTTGTAGGAAGTAGTAGGCTGGGTACAGGGTGCGAAGATGACCTAGGCAGGCAGGTACTGGGCCACCCGCACGGCAGTGGCTCTCCCTTCCCAGTCCGCATCAGCCCCTGGGTAAGTAAGGGCGAAAGGAGCAGAATTCCGATGTGCCATGTCAGCTGGACTGATGGACTCAGGTCAGGGCGAATGTCAAAGCAGTCAAGATTCGTGAATAAGTCAGCCCAGCCACTAGGGTGATGCCCTCCCCCTCCATTGGTTCAGTTTTTCTCTAGTCCTGAGGCAAGAGAGACCCAGAGGGCCAAAGGCCAGTTGGTCCTTGCTATGATCCCTGGAGATCTGATGTGGTGGTCTTTGTCACTGCCAGGGTGTCTTCCTTCTCACTCATGCCATTCTCATGATCTGCCCTGCCTCCCTGTTAGAGCCGGGCTGGTAGGGCCTCTCTGCAAGGGAACTCGACACCCCTCACATGCATTCTACGCTGGCAGTCAGGGGACTACTTGGCCTGGGGAACTGGGGACAGAGCACAGGGGCAGGGTCTGGGGAAGCAACAGAGTTTATTTCCACGTAAACACCCAGGGCCAGCTCAGGGCAGGACCTGGCTAGTGCTCCCGTCACAAGCACGACAGGGAGGAGGAGGGAGAGGACAGTGTACCTTTAGGGAATGTGCCCGAGCAGGAGAGAAGCAACCACCCTGAGCACGTGGAAGTGTTGAGGGCCTAGATTCCCTCGGGTGGTGGGAGGAGGAAAGGAGGACTCCAGTGCGTTAGATGAAACCAGGACACAAGCATGTGACGGCATTGAAGGGAAGAGGCAGCAGGGGCTGGTGGGTGTCAGCCTCCCAGTAGAGGCTGAGGGCAGGTCTCGAGCTAGGGAGGAGTCAGGCCCAGCCCTTGACAATTGTGTGAGGCTGCCTTTCACAGCCCGCCTGGACAAGGCAGGATATCCAACTGGCCTGGGTGGCTGATGAGTGCAGGGTCAGAATCCTCAAGGACAAAGTCTGGGTGGGGTTAGAGCAGGTGGGGCGTGTGGAGGGTATTTCCTCCTAGCCTAGAGGCAGGACAGAGCTCCACGGTTGGCTGGCAGCCTTGGGATGAAGGCCAGAACCGTCCTGCCCCGTGGCTTTCACAGTCCCAGGCTGAGCGCAACATCCTCTCTCCAGGTTACCTACCCACACTTTGTCCTCAGCATCTCAGCTTTATACCGGATGCTCCCTGGGGCCTTAAGGGCATGTGTCCTCATCCCATCTCTGCAGTTAGTGGGAGGTCAGGAGAGGCCTGGACCCTTGGGAGCCGGGGTGCTGCACGCCCTGCCGTGCTCGTGCTCTTTATCTATTGCCCTCTACCGCCCGCCCCGGGAGTGAGGCCCAGACTGCCAGGGGGTAGGGCGTGCTGCCTCCTCATAAATCAGCCGTCCCTCAGCCCTAGGATGGTGCTCATTCCTAGGAATGGGCCTCAGGCCTAGATGGCGCGGAGAACAGGGAAATAAAAAAAGGGGTTTTAAAAATAACCGGTTGAGGTCCCTGCGAAGCCAGGCACTGCCATGCTCCCCTAGGATTCCTCTTTTCCTGGCCCGCTTCCATGTCTCTGGGACGCGGTGCTGCCTTAGGTACCCTGCCGTGTGAACCCGAGCGGTCACGCGGCTTCCCGCACGCGGACCCGCACAGCCCGCATCGCCGCAGGCGCGCCCGCCGCCCCGCCGCACTCACACACCAGGCGGGAGATGTCCAGGACACCATGGCGGGCCGGGCCGCAGCGCGGGGCGACCGCCCGGCCCGGGATGCAGCTGCCGCCGAGCGGCAGCGGCAGCAGGACCGCAGGAGCAGCAGCAGCAGCGCCGGGCAGCGGAGCGCGAACCGCCGGCCGTTAAAGGGAGTCCCTGCCGCAGCGGGGGCCGGCGGCGGCGGTCTTAAAGGGAGCCGCGGGCGGCGAGCACCCCTGACTGCTGGGCGGCATGCGCTATCTCTCTCC